ATAAATAGTAYTTTACGCATAAAAAGTAGTTTTTAAGAGTTTTTGTCAAATGATTTATAATATAGTATAGATATGTTATGAAAATTCAAATTATAAAAAACATTAATTAAATATTTTTAAAAATTTAATTAGTTTTTTAAATAAACTGAAAAAATATGTTTTTTTAAATCATAATTTTTTGGAAATTAAAAAGGAAAACAATTTGAAAAGTATGTAATAGTTGATTTTAAGAAGATATATTATTTGTATTTCGTGTCTGAAAACGTGTCGTCGGAATTTGGTTTCAGTAAAGCGGCTCCACAGGAAGCTACGTACACCCTCCCCCCATTTTCATGTGTTGTTTCTGGCTACGTGCGTACTAGCACTCGACAGCTTTCATTTTTTTAATAAAAAAATAATCATAATTATTAAATTATAATATTTTAAAAATTAATTAAATTTCGAGTAATTTTGGTCCCTGATGTTTGTGGTTTTTAACGGATATGGTCCATAAAGTTCAAAAACTTGGATTTGCTCCCTCACATTTCTCGTTTTCAAAGGTTTTGGTCCTTTTATCTAACGATCGTTAACTTTTTCTATTAGATCTAGTTAAAACGAGGGATCTTTGGTCATTTTCATTATTTTCTTAATTTTATATTGAAATTTAAAAACATATTATATTTTTACTTTTAGCCTTTTGTTTTTCTTTTGTATTTCACAATTTAAAATTTAAAATATAATATGTTATTCTTTTAATATAATAAAGATAGTGAAAATAATTAAAATATATCTCGTTTGATTAGACTTGAGAGAGAAAGTTAACAAGCTTTAGACGAAGTGACTAAAACCGTTTAGGAATTAACAAACTTCAGGGATCAAATCCGAGTTTTTAAACTTTAGAAACGATATTTGTTAAAAATTGCAAACATTAAGCTGCGTTTGGTACATGGGACGGGACAAGACAGGACGGGATAAAACCCATTGTCCCATGTTTGGCGCAACATGGAACAGAAAAAGAACTCACTGTCCCATGTTTGGCACGACATGGGACAGGAACAAGAACTGGGACAAGATGAGACAGCATGGAACAAAATAGGTTTTTTCTTGTTCCACCAAAATAGGTGGAACAAGATGGGACAAGAATGGAACATAAACTAAAATATTACTAATCTACCACTAGTTTCGGCCACCGCCACCAGTACCGGCGGTCACCAGCGGCCACCTCCACCTCCACCTCCACCTCCTTTTCCACTACAACAACATCCTCCACCGCCTTCACAACCACCGTCCACCAAGTCGATTGTCACCTCTACCATAGTTGACCACCGTCCATTGCCACCACCAATACCGCCGTTCACCGCCTTCAACTCCTCCTCTACTGCAACAACCTCCTCCACGACCACCATCGGCCACCACCATTCATTGCCAACTCACCTCCACCATAACCACCACCACCACTATCTTCACTACATCAACCACAACTACCATCTTCATGTCCTCTATAACCGCCACCACCACCATAACTACCACCGTTGTCAACCGCCATCACCACCACAATCTACCATCTTCATGTCCTCTATAACCGCCACCACCACCATAACTACCACCGTTGTCAACCGCCATCACCACCACAATCTACCATCTTCATGTCCTCTATAAGCACCATCGTCCACCAAGCACCACCGCCTCTACCTCCATAACCACTGTAAGCCATCGACCACCACCGCCCGTTGCTACTACTATTGTCGGCCACCACCACCTCCACCATAACCAAAACCACCTCCACCACCACTACTACTATCAATTATATCAAAATTTTCATTCAAATTTGGTATAGATATGAAAATTTTGTACAAATATTTATTCTTTAATTATTTACTTTATTTTTGTTAATTATAACTATTATATAATATTTAAAATCATCAAATAACTTTTGGAGGTACCTTGTCTATTATGTCTCGTCCAATCCTAGTCGTACCAAACACCAGACATACTTATGTTATGTTCAGTCATGTCCCGTCCAGTCCTGTCCCGTCCAGTCCTACCATCTTGTCCTGTCATGTCCAGTTCTGTCCTTTCCAATTATGTCTGAATACCAAACGCTACCTTAAGAACCAAAATTGAACTTTACTCTTAAATATATAACTTTGTGACGAATACAAAGTTATTTTTTTAATAAATAAAAAGTTCTTAAATTTGATTAAAATCTCATTTAAGATTATACACCTGATAATTTGGAATACGGAAAATCGGGGTTACCAAGTCCACGACCAAGTACTTATTACTTATTGGGGAGAAAAGATCCATATTGATGATTATGATTTTTCGTATGCACAATTCCTCAAATTAACTCACCCTATGGGGGTCGAGCTATTTCTTTCTTTTCAAGAAGCACATGTGGAACGGTCAAACCGTTAAGTCGACAAGTTGAGAAAGAGATTGATCGTCACATATGACATTGCCCCAKAATGAGATTAGTCGTCATATACGATGTTAGACTCAGTCTCTTGTTGTTTGATCTTTTACTCGGACAAGTGCTACAACCATCAAGCTAAGGAGCAAGACTAAGGTCGACCGTTAGGGAGACTAAAGCGGGAGGCTTACTCTCAAACTTTCTGTTTTCACAGTGGTAATATTCTTTAATGAGCATAACAGTCTTATTGTTCCGATAAAGAGAGAAACCTATGATTAGCTTTCCTCTCTTCGTTTCAGATTGAAAGATGAAGAGCTGAGCAAATGAAAAAACCAAAGGAGGTTCATAGCCAAAGGTAAAGATGTGCAAATACAGTTATTTTATTTTAAGTTTAAAATAACTGATAATTTAATTATTATTGTTTTGCAACAAACATTCATACATAATTAAGGTGGACAACAAAAATATAATGATTTATCATCAAAAATCAAAAAAATCGTACATTAATTAACAAATAAATAAGTCATTAAACCCTTAAATTAAGGGGAAGAAATGGGAAATCGTATCCAAAAGGATTTAGATAGAGAAATGGGTTAATTACACCCCAAGTCCTTCCACTTTTTTTGTTTTTCTTTAGCACCACCTTTTTTTAATTTACAAAACAAGCTTAAAATTTGGGGAAATTGACCCAAATGATCATAATGCACAACCAAATTGACCTCATAACCATTTTTTTCGAACTTTATTCAAAAGTCGCTATGTAATACCTAATTGCAGACCCACTAAACGACAAAATTCTGGAGTTTTTTTGGCCCAGGTATGTAACCACAAGTCCATAATTATCACGGATTCGACCCAAAACTCATTTTCCTTGAATCCGTAATGTCAAATCCGTAAGTCTCCACCTTAGGGGATTCATAGGAAAATGGGTTTTGGGTCGAATCCATAATAATTGTGAACCGGTGGTTACGAACGTGGTCCAAAAACATTGATTTTTTTGTCGTTTAGTGGGTCTGCAATAATTGCAGATCTACTGACGTTTGGGTAAAGTCCAGAGAGAAATGGTTAGGAGGTTAATTTGGTTGTGAAATATGGTTATTTGAGTTAATTTTCCTAAAATTTGGCTTCATTTGTTCATTTATTCTTTTTAATAGATGCATTGATTATTATATGCCTTTAGTATGTTATAAAAATGATTGTTTTCGTTCTAGTACTACAATATTTTGTATTGTCAGAAGAAAAACAACATATCCTTTTCTGATAAGTTTTTTATTTATTTTTTAATCGTTAGTTAAAAGTAATAAGTTTGATTTTGATCAACAAGTTTCAGTAATTTTGTTGAAAGACATTTGATCAATAGTTAAAAAAAATCTATTAAGATTACAGGCCAAACGAAATGTTATATTTACTGCATTATATTCAGCTATATGGTCAGATACACTGTGAAAAACTCATTGTGGGATGGTATCCAAAAGATCCCAAAAAAAGAAAGATGAATAAGAAAGTCATGTTTCGATATTAATTATTTGCCATTTAGAAACCGTTACAAAATATTGATACCATCAAATTTCTTAATTGGTGTTTGATCGAGTATCAATATATGGAACGAATCAACTTTGAGATCGGTTTTTCAAATCCTGAAATCAAGTTTAAAAAAAAAAAGGTATTCACGTTTATAAAAAGCAGTCGCATTTCTAAATTTATCGTTAAAAGTATTCTAATTATCAATAAAAATACTATTAAGAGAAGCAATCCGAGAACATTTTAAAGACTTGTTACCAAAATAAAAAAATAGGTGCGATATCTTCATATTTTCCTTATTTTATAACATAGTGATTTATTACTTATTTTAGTTTTTGGTATACGATATAAACCAACGGCTTCCTCATTTTGTTTTATTCTTTAGTTCTTTGATGCATAAAGTATTATCGAATATACTAATTACAGTGCACAATGGCAATCGACAACAATGACAACGACAGTGGGTAGCAACGCTGGCAAGCAGCAACAACAAGGTGAGACAACAACGACATAGCTAGAGGCAGAGATAGCAGGCGGTGGGAATATTTTGTTTTTATGTTTTGCATTTTAAAAGAGAACATCCATTTTAGAGTAAAATATAAAAGTACAGTGCGTACTGATAAAAGTGACGAACTCTATGAAAATCATATAATCGACAACTTAACGATTAAGTCATTTGATAACCATTGAGTTTGTAACAGATGTCATAATAGAGCGTATTGAATAAGTCAGACACACTAGTATGAAAGTAATAAGCAAGGGAGGTTTTTACCTGAATTCAACAATATTTTAATTGACGTATTTCCTTTGACTTGTTTATGTTAAGAAAGCATCGTTAAATTTTTTATCAGTACCAATTTAATGGTAGAAATTGATGGGACGGTGAGAAAAGAACTAAATCGATACAAAATTAATAAAATAGGGACTGAAATCGTTGGTTATTTTCTATAGGGACCGTAAATGTTACTTATTTATAAGTTTAGGGACCATTCACGTAACTTTTTTGTTTTCTAATCATCCCAACCAGGCAACCACTGTACCACCATTCCTCTCCACCGACATTTTTCTAAATCTATGAATTTGAGAGCGTTCATGAATTCAACACATTCAAAGCCAAAACCCCAAAGAATGAGTGTTCAAAATTCCCATTTTTACCGATCTTGTTAGGATCATCTTTCTAATTCTGAAATTTTCCAAATATAGTCTTGGAAATCATCAAATTCTTTACCTTTTCTTTGATCGGAATCGGTGAAGATACAATCGTTCTAGTTTAGTTTTGTTTGATTTGATTTGTTTCCAAAAACCCTAAACCGTTTCCGACCTAATTGTAGATCGGATTGGTAAAAGATGCTGGATCGGATTTTTGGGACTCGCCGGACCCGTCAATTCCAGCGGATTCTGCGCAACGGCAAGGTCACGCTTCTCTGCTTGGTTCTCACCATCGTCGTCCTTCGTGGGAACCTCGGCGCCGGCAAGTTTGGTACGCCGGAGCAGGACTTTAAGGAGATCCGCGAAACGTTCTATCAGTACCGTGGCAAGCGTGCCGAGCCACGCCGCGTCCTCGAAGAATTGCAAACCACCACCGAGCAGACGGCGTCGTCGGCGACCAACAATTATGCCGAATTTGACATCAATAAGTTGTTTGTTGATGAAGAAGAAGATGTGAAGAAAAACCCTAATGAACCCTACAGTATAGGGCCGAAGATCTCAGATTGGGACGAACAAAGAGGTGAATGGTTGAAACAAAACCCTAGTTTCTCTAATTTTCTTAATGCTAATAAGCCTAGGGTTTTGTTGGTAACTGGGTCCTCACCTAAACCTTGTGAGAATCCAGTTGGTGATCATTATTTATTGAAATCAATAAAAAACAAGATAGATTACTGTAGGGTACATGGGATAGAGATCTTTTATAACATGGCTTTGCTTGATGCTGAAATGGCTGGTTTTTGGGCTAAACTTCCATTGATTCGGAAACTTCTTTTGAGCCATCCTGAGGTAGAGTTCTTATGGTGGATGGACAGTGATGCCATGTTTACAGATATGGCATTTGAGGTACCTTGGGAGAGATACAAAGATAAGAACTTGGTTTTGCATGGTTGGAATGAAATGGTTTATGATCAAAAGAATTGGATTGGATTGAACACCGGTAGCTTTTTGTTGAGAAATTGTCAGTGGTCTTTGGATTTACTTGATGCTTGGGCTCCAATGGGTCCGAAAGGGAAAGTTAGGGATGAAGCTGGCAAGATTTTGACTAGAGAGCTCAAAGATAGACCTGTTTTTGAAGCAGATGATCAATCTGCTATGGTTTGGTTATTGGCTTCTCAGAAAGATAGATGGGCTAGTAAGGTTTACTTAGAAAACCATTATTATCTCCATGGGTATTGGGGGATTTTGGTTGATCGATATGAGGAAATGATAGCAAGTTACCATCCAGGTCTTGGTGATCATAGATGGCCTCTAGTTACTCACTTTGTGGGTTGCAAACCTTGTGGGAAATTTGGTGATTACCCAGTTGAAAGGTGTTTGAAACAGATGGATCGTGCATTCAATTTTGGGGACAACCAGATTCTGCAAATGTATGGATTCACCCACAAATCGCTTGCTAGCAGGAGGGTAAAACGGACAAGAAATGATAGTAGCAATCCTCTTGAGGTGAAGGATGAGCTTGGTTTGCTTCACCCTGCATATAAAGTTACTAAGATTTCATCTTCTTGAAAAACTCTTATGAAGGGGATAGGCTTCGATATTTGAATTAGTTTGTCATTTTCACCCATGATTCGTATTGTGCTCTAAGTTATGATACATTTGGATTTTGTATCGTTCTTTTATTTGTCAAATGTCATAGCCTGTTGATTGTATTGAAATTTTTTCTTGTTACTAGCCAGTTAAGTTTATATGGAAGGCAAACAAATAGCTTGAGCCAACTTTTGTTACACGTTTACTATCTCGACTGTTGTCAGAAATATTAACCACATATTTATACATCCGTTCTTCGTTGCATTAGTTGGCTTAATTCTGTCAATGTGATGATTTGTAATGCCAAGTTATAATCAAAGAAGCATATCTTATTGTATTACTTTCTTTTTCTTTTAGATCTGAACATCGGGTGGAATATAATGGGTTTGTTTGGTTTGGTTCTAGTGGCTCGTTGTGATGCCATGGTTCTTGAATCTGGTTCAATGACATGAGAAGGGTTTGATTTCTTTTGGCAAGTAGTTCAAGAATGGTAGATTCCCTTTTGAGAATATTGGCTTGAATCCTTTCTTCCACTAACAGAGTTTGAAATCTTCTCTATGATTCCCTTCCAACCATGAACTCATTGGTGATTCATTTGGTTATCTTGGGAAAGATAAGTAAGGGAATGTGAAAAACGAATTACGGTTAGGGTCTTGGTTTAGAAATGTGTGATTTTGCTACTTGCTAAGAAGGGATTCAGGTTATGAATACGCATGAAGTGGAAGATATTCACAAATGAATTAGAGAACATGGTGGTGATGATGAAAGGAGATCTTGATTGATACATTAGTGGGCAAAACTTAAAAGAGATCTTGATTGATGAATATTATTGGGTTGGTGTAGGTTTTAATTATTTAGTTGGATTTGAAGTGGTGATTAGGGATTCCAAGTGGTGTAACATGATGTGGATCTCACATTAACTACTGCACATGCCCCCTTTAATGGCAGTTTTCAAATACTAAAGCAGTGCTTGGAGTATCATAACTGGCATATGCTTAGTAGGATGGTAGCTATTTAATGTGTGATTTGAAAGGAAATTTTGCATAACTAAAAGATTCCAAAGGCCAATCATGCAAGTCTTTTGATTCCAATGAAATGGAATGGAATTCAATAAGGTTTTGACTACAGGTTTGGTTGATAGGAATTGGAATTGGAATTGGAATGAAATCTTTGAAATTAAAATGATATTGGGCCTGGGATAACGTAATGGACTAAATCTGTTGTTTGACTGGGCCGTTAAAAATCAATGGTGGTGATGTGGACATTTATTTCTTACAGAATACAGATTCATTACAAGTTTATAATTCATTAGCATATTTCATTAACCAATCAAGTAAACAATTTTAAAGTAATCATAGCATAGTAGCATTAATTTTTTTTTTAAATTTAAAATCAATTAAAATCTCGAGGTAAATAACTTCAAACTCAAGGTAAAGAGTCATTTAGATTTAGGTGACGTTGGTTTTTTAAGACGTGTTAAAGTCTGAAGTTTTTTTCACTTCTGATTAATAATAAGTGGTGTTGAAGTCTGAACTTTGAAACTGTTTGTTTTTTTAAACCGATTGTTGTCTGAAATTGTTTAAATTATCTATTTTTACCGATTGGAAAAATATAATGTTGAATTTATAGATAAATTTATTACAATTTCACATATTTATTCATCATCATTATGAAATTTATGTTTAAATTATATAATTAGCATTTATTTAAACGAAAATACGTCATTAACGGTATTTAACACATATAAATCCTATTAAAAAGGCCTTAATTTGGGTAATAGAGTTGGATGAGGATTCCTGGATTAGAAAATGGAGTATACCAAATATAAAATGCATATAAAAAGCGGAAGTGGTATGAGATCACCAAACTGAAAGTGAAATTGCACGGGGTGGAGTAAATTTGTTTTGCTTTTAACAGTAATCAATCATCTGGTTTTACTAAGCATACAAAAGACCAGAGTTGCCACGGCCCCAAAGGCCCCCATGGGCTTCCACTACTGCAACCGGCTTACACATAACCCACATTCAAAGACACCAATGTAGTGGGTATTTGGCTCACTCAACAACATTCTATTTTCTTTCACTCAAATAACTGTGAAGTATCTATGTCTCTTTTATTTTTTTTCTTCGAACCTTCATTTACTCTAAAAACAATTTCAACCTTTTTTTCTTTGACTTCAGTTAATTACTTCAATATCTTATAGTGGCATGTTCTTTATGTGTGTCTCATACTTCTTTTACGGAGGATTTATCCTCTTACAGTGTTACAAACTGTGCAAAAGGAACTCTGTTTTGGAACAACCTGGTTTTAAGGGATAAACGTTTTACCAGTAAAACGTTAGCTACTTAATTAGACAAATCAATATTATAAGAGTTTTATCAAAATGAGAATGGACCATGGTGTCGTAGGAGATTTAATCTACAAGGCATATCATGTTGATTTTTGTATGTTTATGGATGATGATTCTGCTCGTAAGCGTAATGGTATAAGCCTGCCTGACTGTGATGCAAAGGGTACGCGATCACAGCGCACTGTTAGGAAAATTGTTATGTCACTACAGAGTATACCCTTCCTTATTGATGGGCATATGTATAGAACTAATTTTGGGACTGGACACAATATGAAGGAAGTGACCTGGCCACGATTTATGAGCCCATTTTCGATTCCCTTACCCAGTATATGTCCAAACACCCCATCCCATGGCTACACAAGTCAGATAGATTTAAATACTAAGCTACAACAATTGTTAGACTATTCAAACAAACGAGAATGCTCTTCGTGTAACTTCTTTAGCAGACCTTCAATCATCATATCTATTAAATATGTGAATGACAAATCCCCTGGAACAGGGTATGCGAGTTATTTGTTGCATATGTCGTATATAAACATTGTATACTTAAAAGAAACTCTAGAACAAGTAACATTAGGCGAGAGAGTCGAACTCGATGTATGTCAACTTACTTTATAGTCCCAACCCAGATCCAGAAGGATTTTAGTTGATATGATTGATGACAGAGCAACATGGAGGAATGCCCCTTAATCTTGTATCCCACGTTGTCATAACCGATAACAATGAGATAGGGCGGCTTCTAATAACGTTGGCTCTCAAGATTACCAACGTACAATTACTAAGAAGAACGACAAACTCGTGTCGATCGGATGATTTAAAAATTAATAAGAAATCTTTAAAAAACAAAAACTCTAAGCAAAGTCAGTCCACTAGATTGTTCCTTGGTTCGTAGGTCCGATTAGAAAATCATGTTGTTTTGTCCTTTTCCAAAAGTAGGATTTTCGATAATGTCGCAGCTCATGATATTTAATGAGTAGGTCATCTAATTGATTCGTTATACCTACATGATAAGTTATATCTCTTTAAAACTAAGCAATACAACATATTATTAAGTTCTCTAAGACCGTCACCTAAAAAATACTGTGACGATGACAATACAGGAGTTTGCACACATCATCGTTACATTTGTATCTATTTTTGGACGACAAATTAGATAACAAGTAACCATACGTTCATTGTTTTTTTGATTTTATAATGAATCAAATTGATTATATCATACACGTTTGGAGTTAATCTTATAGTTATAAATCTACAATTATTTATTTGTAACAAAAAAGTTCACGTCGCTCATTCACAATAAAATATTGTAGTTGCTGAAATATAATCGATAAAAATATGTAATAATAACTAGTAGTGTATACCCGTACAATATAATAGATATAATTTTTATTGTAAACCGAGAATGAAAAATTAATACAATTTCTCGTTGAAAAAGAAATTTCAATTTTTTTAGAGTATTTGCGGTATCAAACTTAACCTTATTATCTATACTATATTATAGAACATTTGACAAAAACTCTTAAAAACCATATATTATGCATTAAGTACTGTTTATTGATGCATATTACTTAAAATTCAAGATTACAAGTAATTTTGCATAAGTACAACTTATTAAAACTCTATTTTAAATACGTGTAACCAACTGTAGATAAATAAAGTCAAATACAAGATAAACACTCATTTTAAATATTATAAATCAAAATTATAATTAAGATAATTATTAAGTTGTAACATATTATCTTTATAAAAAAATTATATTATTAAACCAA